CCTTTCAATAAAGCCATAAAATGCTATGGTCAACGCTAAACAATAAAAGTTTTCCAATAGCTCCGTCACACCATGCTCTCAGAAAATGGTCTAAAATCTGCCCTGTGCCATTGACCTTTACCCTGTGACTCAATTGTGCGGAATCAGTGATGGCCTTTTCCCTACCATGATGCTATAACACCGACGTATCACGAGCCTAGGTCGAGCCGTTTACGATTTGTGCCGCTCAATCTGCTTTCTCCCTATACTTAAGTTTAAGGAGTGATGTTCCCCCTTCTTTTACACCTTTGACCTTTGACCTTTGACCCCAGCTTCGAAATCCCAACATCGTTTTTTCGGATTACCCCCCACGTCCGAATATCGTGACCGCGTCGAAGCGACGTTAAGATTTGCTGCCAACTGTTGACGGACGGACGGACGGACGATCATGCGATTCTACAAGCTGCATCTGACTATGTCAGATGAGCTAAAAACAGTACACTTCTTAGTATTTTTAAGCTGGTGTTATTGGTAATTAATATCTACGTATATTTAAGACTTTATTTTGCTAGTAATGTTTGGATGTAATTCATTCATTTAATCAGAGCTTATAATGATAATTAATGATCATTATAAGCTCTTTGATTTAATTGCATATTTATTCTTAAAATCAGAAAACTATACGTTCTAATAACTGAAGATGTATATGATAGAATTACCTGTAGCATCTATAACAGAATTGAAGACACCGTCACTCATGAGCAGAAGAAAGCAACAGGAACTGTCCATAGGAATACCTCCATGGATTTCAGGCTCTGCTATTATTGGTTCCTCTTTAGCCGTACTGCAACAGTTATTATTGCTGCCATTTATTAAAATTACGCCCTAATTTTCGTGTAATTAATGAATCACACAGATGTTATGTGCACAATTCAAACCAATATTTTGAGGAATAAATATTGCAGCTATAAACACAATATCAATGAAATTCTATCTGATAAGTATAAATCCCAAGAGTAGATAGAACCAGTAATATGTAAAACGAAGAATTCCCAGCAGCTTCTAACAAAGAATTGGGGCTAATTAAAAGGCTAATCTCAACAAATCTTTGACAAAAATTAAAATTGTGAGCACTTCATTCTACATTAATAGGGCTGCTTATCGGGGTTTCATAGATTGTGTACTGAAAATATACAGTTAATGAAAATTAGACATGAAACTCATACAATGGACGAATCAACGAAAGAAGAACTGTTTGTTAGCTATGCCACATAAATGTCATGATAGCATCTTAAAGGGAGAGTTTACTCTGGGTTCTAGGGTTATTTTCAGCTAATTTATGTTATAATTGCGCTACATAAAAAGTTTCATGGTTCAATCACCATTAGAAATATTTTAAAAAAATGTTTTAAAACTAACGACTACAGTTTGATTACAACGACGGTGGCGCCACTCAAAGCGCACGATCTGAGAAGTTGCGCAAAACCACTTTCCAGCCAAGGGCTACAGACCGAGGGTATTTCTTATTTATTCATTTAAAAGCAAAAGAATTGTAATATGTCCCACATCCTTTAGTAGAAATTTACTCGTTACGTGTAAGGCATGTGTTCTTCAATAACAATGGTATCCACTCTCAATACATCACAACACACTAGACCCGCATGAATGCATTGTAGGACACAAAGATGCATCTATAATACCCTGGACAGTTATGATATTGTTCATTTAGTTATATTAACAGGAGAGAAAGAACTCTGACAGTTATCGTTATACTGTATTGACATTATGTTCCCTTTCATTTTCATCTCAGTCATGGCCAGTAACAAGCTGAAGCTTAATTAAGCAATCACAGATATTACGGTTTTAATACCAATTTTATATTAAAACTAGAAACGAGCAGTTGTCGCCAACTACATGTATCCCGCGTGATATAGTATGAAGGAATATGTCTGTAAGGACGTAGAAGGCAGGTAAAGTTAAATAAGTCACAAGACAAAGGTTTGTTAGACAACTGGTCTGCCTCAGATGTGGAAGTATATGGTATCTGGTTACCCTAGGAGGCCGAAGAGGAAATGTAAGTCGACGGTCAAGGTCAAACTAAGGTCAAGGCAGTGGTGTTTTGGTATGCGACAGACCTTCTCCCAAGATGTGCTAAGAATACCAAGTTTGGTCGTGCTAGAGTGAATTAGGGCCGAGTTAGAGAGCGGAAGGGAAATATGGATCAAGGTCAAGGTAAAGGTGAAATAAAGGTCGCAGTGAACTGGTTTTGGTACTCTGCACACCTTCTCCCCAAGATGTGTAAGTATACCAAGTTTGGTAGCGCTAAGGCTGAATTAGGGGCCAAGTTACAGAGCGGAAGGGAAATATGATCAAGGTCAAGGTAAAGGTGAAATGAAGGTCGCAGTGACCTTGCTTCAAATTTGGCATGAAGGTGCGTTATGGTAAAGCGAAGATGCCATCGTTTTTGGTGTGGGCGGAGTCATCGTTGCCATGGTAACAATACTTTTGTGGGAAATTTGTAGAACCTGTAACTTGTGCTGTTTTTACCCGATTGTCATGGAATTTGGCACACAAGGGCCGATATAACATGTCCTATATATATACAGGGCTCGATTAACTGACGGCGCCCTATCAATCGCCGTACCTGCCCTGAAATCCAACTCGACCGACGACAGTAACCTTCTTGCCCTTTTCTGTAATTGCCGTCGGTGCCTCTGGCTAGACTGGTTCGCGGCCACACTGTTTGTCGCCAGGCGTGTACATTGTCTAGCAGAGCGTCGAGGCCCGGTACCAGTCTACCCTTCGGCAAAAAAACAATAACCGCTAAACTTGGCTTGCTGCCAAACCGCTGCCAGTAGACGATCGATAAATAGTGCGCCTGTGTATGCCCGTGGTAGAACACGAATATTTAAATGCTGCACGTGGACTCGGCCTGCACGCGATTTAAAAGCGCCGGAAACGACGCTCGCGCAAGAATGCCAGCTGTGATCTGTATGGTGTGTAGCTTGCTAAGTGCAGTAAATTTAGAGAAATTTTAGTAGAATTCATACGATGACAAAGTTTTTCATAACAATGCGTCTGGGTCTGGGCTGGTAGTGAAAGTTAGGTCAGGGCTAGTGGTTTTCCTCCTTACTAGCCGATGGTCTAGTGAAATAAAAGTTAACGTTGAACCTGTTACTGTACTTCCATTAGCAGAGGTTGATGTATTAATTTGTTATGAGTTTTTCCTTTATTTTACAAAAGTGCCTTGGTGCCCTTCTCAAATTGTGAGAGTTGCCTTGATGCCTTTTAAAATTGCCTCGGTGCCCATCCATTTAGAGAAAATTCAAGGCAATTTCTCACATGCCCCCAAAAAATTGCCTTGCCCCTCTCGTCACTTAATTCGAGGCCTGTATATATATATCAGGAGTAGATAATAGGGAAGGAGTGGGACATCAATAAACAAGGGAAATTCGTCATTTACTAGCCTTATAATACCTACGATTTACTATGCGTAACTCATCCAACTTGAGCTCAAATCGGACACAGTACATTCGCCTAGCATCGTCGCGAA